TAGGAGTTTGTTTGTTCACGCCTAATATATATTTAAAATCGAATATGAAATTTATCTACCTCTTTATAATTATAAGCACCCCAAACCTCACATCCATACGTTAATATAGGGACAATCATAGTAATCAAAAAGAGATAATTTGGTACGAATATCTAGACTAACATTATCAAAAACGTTTAAAGATTATTATACGCCCTAAGAGCTTGCTCATGCAGTGCTTTTACAGCATTTGCAAGAGTACCAGTGTAAGTAAACTTGATTCCAAGATAAACACAATTTTCAACAATTTCAATTTTTTCGTTATCTATATAGAAGTCAGGATATACAGTTTGTTTTCTCTTTTCAAATACACAAATTTTTGTTTTACTAACGTTTATTTTGAAACCCCATTTTTTAGAATAATGTTGCACAGCATTAATTTGAGCCTGTAGGCTATTTGGATCTGTCGTTAATTATACAATATCATCAGCAAATAAAATCATATACCTAGACAAAAGTTCAAAGTCCCTTTCAGTCAAAGCATTAAAATCCAAATTTCAAAAATGTCATTGATGAAAAGTAGGAAAAGTAGAGGAAAAGGTTCTCCCTTCTTTAAACCTATCGTTACATTAAAGAAGTCTGACATATTCATGTTATTTTGATGTTATTTTATTTCACACAAGCTTGAACCTTTAAATATATACATTTGATCATATTTGTCATTTTACAGCTAATTCCTGATTGTAACAATTTATTCCATAATTTATCTCTACAAACAGTATCAAATGCTCTTTGGTAAACAATAAAAATACACCAGAGTTTTGATTTTTTTGATAGGACCTTCTGTATAATAGCATGAAGTAGGAAAATAGCATCTGCTGTAGAGCGACCCTCTCGAAAACCATACTGAGAATCATTAAAAACATGTTCTTGTTCACACCAGCTATTAATACGATTTCTTAATGTCAAAGAAAATATCTTCCCTATAACATTTATTAATGTAATACCTCTATAATTCGCAGGTATATTTTTATCACCTTTTTTATATATCGGAACAATAACTCTCTTAGACCATGCTTCAGGATATAAACAGTTATTATAAATATAGTTAAAGATTGTACATAAATAGGGAGATATAACATTGTTTGCATCAATAAAAAAATCGGCTACATTATTGTCATAGTCACAACTTTTATATCTTTTCAAAGAAGATATTGTTTTTTTGGACCTCTTCCACAGAAATTTCTCTATCAAGAAAATCAATATTTACAGTTTCGTGACTCTCTTGTGAAAATTCATCACGTTCCGACTGGCTTTGACTATCATTAGACATATTTTTTAAATAATTTTTAAACTCCTCAAGTCTAGCATTAGATTCAAATCCACCTGTATTTCTAAATGTTTTAATATATTTCCAAAATTTACGAGGAGACGTTTTACTAATATCAGACATTTTTATTTTTCTCTATGAACATACTTGCTTTTAGCCGCCTTTTTAACTTTAATGTATTTTTTCCTACAAGTAAGCAAAACTAATTTATTTTCTTCGGATTTAAAGCTAGCATAACGTCTCTTCGCATCACAAAATAACTTTTTTGCATGTCTACAATCATCATTGAACCATAGCGATTTCCGCTTCTAAGTTAAATGAAGACACAAGTAGAAATCATGCTTATTCGTGGAAAATAGCAAATACAGTTGCCACAGCTATAAGAGAATTGTTTGTAAATTGCCCTTGGGCGTACGAATCTGTAGCTGTATTCCATAAGTACTGACTGCCAATTAAAATACTTTGGTCTGATTTGCTTGAAATCGTAACCATGACAATAAATTTGTATCGTGGAAATTTCATAGTTTTAACTTTTCCTTTAATGCTTTCGGAGAGGCTTTTCGACAATAAGCTGGCACGTTTTGGGTCATATGTCATCCCGGTCAAAGTTGTTGCTAGGATACGGACAATTTCACCGTTAACGTCTTCTGGGTTGAACTTTCTCATCGGTATATCAGCTGTTATATTTCCTTTGCACCAGGGTGGCTGCGAATTTACCCTTTTTTATTTAAAAAGTGAGAATGACTATGTTTGTGACGGTGGTTGACGCCATTGTTTGTTGGGCTCTTCGGAGTGTGCAAATTGTGCAAAAAAAAGAACTTATTAATTGTTGTTCTAACTGGGATAGTTTTTTATCAACGTTTCGAAAAACAGAAGAATATTATACAAATATTGACTTTTTAGCTGGTGAATATGATGTGATATATACTGAAAATATTAATATTGACCAGGGGGATATACTCTGATATTCACTAGTTATTTTTTTTACGAAAAATTATATCTTATCCAATTGCAGAAAATCATTTTAAAGCCATTTATAGATCATAATATAGTCTAGAATATTCCATAAATTTATGTCTTTGTATCACAAATCGTTGAAGACAATATTTTTGATTAATTTATTATTGTCTGAACATTACAACTATTCAAAAAAATCTAATAGAGTAAATTACAAGATTTATTTGTTTGGTACAGGCGTGTATCAAGGATTTATCGAGTGGGGGTGGGGGAGCGCAAAATTACGACTTGGGGGGTAATGCAAATTCCGGAGAGGTTTGCCATATCCCAACTCTTGATCCGCACACGAGGTAGTAAAACCCTTCAAAGCTGCGTTCCATAATTTTCAGATGGTAGGATCAATTTATTTTGAAACCTCTGTTATTTGGTAGACGCACAACAGCACGTTTAATATTAATGTATCACATATTCGCAAATTCAAAGGAAAATAAAACGGCGTTTAAATACCTTTATCACATTGTCTTAATAGAAAGTTTCCAAGATGTGGACATTGACTACATGATCATATACATATATACAGTAAAGCTTTTCTATTCTTAGAATTTTAATGTACTTACATTTTGTTCGGTATGTTTTTCATCGTTCCGTTCTGATGCCGCAGAACCTGATCTCGAGTTGATCAAGACAGGTTTCTGTAACAAAAGCAAGAAGCTATTAACATGGTCGACAACTGGTTTCGAAAATACAAAATCGGAATTCAAGTTCACAAAGAATCGGACTCAAACAGTTGGTTTAGTATTATTAGGGGAGCGGTTGTATAGTGGTTAATGTGCCAGCCGCTCAACCCAAAGATCGTGAGTTGGAGCCCTAGTCCGGTCACGACCATGAATCCTAACCGTTCCTGGTTAGATCCAGGAAATGGTCTCAATAGTGATTGATATAATAGTACATGTAAATAACAACCGATATCAAATAAATACGTCTTAACCATTAAAAAAATCGCCAAAGCATTTATTTCCGGTTTTGAAATTGTTACTATCGTAACCATACAGAAACAAGAATCTGCGGATGTTTCTAAATTCAAAATATCGCCATTTTCGAGTTTAAACTTTGAATTCTGCTTACGCCGGTGCTAGGGGGCCTGGACGGTAACTTGTACTTTCCAGTATCGTCCATGAACAGGCACAATCAAACCGAGCCTGCAGCATTTTCAATTTTGTCGTTTTTGGCTTTCTTTAGGAATTCTGCCCTCAATTTTATTACTAATTAAAAGTACACAATACATCACGGTTTCAGTGCACGTGCATTTTCGTACGTAATTTCTACCCGTGCATTCATACACATTTTAATTATAATTGAACTTTGCATGCGTTGTGTACACGTTTACCTAACAAGCTTCAAGCCCCGCCTTTTTACATGACATATGGGTATCTTAAACTAAGTATATTTTAAACTCAAAAAGAATAAAAGACATGATAAATATGTTTTAAGACTCACCGTGGTTTTTCCCAACAAGCGCTTCAAGTCCATGTCCTTTTCTATGTTCAGAATAAGGTAAGTCAAAATAAATAGCTGGTCTTTCAGCGAAATGGTAGTCTTTGTAATTTCACGCAAATAAGAAAATAGAAAATTGTCAATGAATTTCTATTACTAGGGTTGTTTGTAGCACAGTCCGCACTTTAGCTATACATTTCAATTATAACGGACAAGCCGAATGAATACTGATTTATTTACACTTATTTATTGATATGAAAACAAACTATTGCGCTTCCTTTTAAAATGTTTATTGAAGAGAAGCTTTACAAAAACAGGTAAATAAAATGACCAAAAATTCAAAAGTTTATGTAATTATTGAAGAGGTACAGGTAAACAGTTTTGGAAAAACGGAAAGCGACTCTATTTTTCGTGTTCACTAAATAAATTCAACAAACAATCAGTGAACAATAACTATAAAATGTTCTATGTTGTAAAACAGTCGAATAAAAGGTTTATTTATTTTCTGGTTTAAGGTTTATGCAAGATTGCTGTTCTATCAGCATCGATAGGTATTGGAAAGTTTAAACTTTTTGATCGCTTTTTGAATATTTCGCACTTTCGTAAGCTTTCGTAGTTATATATTTTATAACATTCTACATTTTTACATCCACGGTTTGTTTAAGGCAAATGCAAATAGCAAAGCAACGTAGTTTAAAAATACTTACAGATATGTCACATAAACAAATAATAGTTAAAAAATTTAAACAAATAATTTGATACATATTTGAGAAAAAGTTATAATAATAATTATTACAGAGAAGTAACACATTTCAGTTTTTATACAAGTAACATATCTAGATCTCTGTTTTTACAGACTCTATTACAGTGGATTGGTCTACAATAAGCACATGTTCCATAATTATTTCAAATATTGATTAAAACATTAAAAATGTATGGTTCTGATTCAAGGGTTTTCACGGAATCTAAGGTTCGTAAATATTTTACATACATTTAAACCTATGATTTGATGATATCTTAACAAAGACTACATGATATTATGCGTGAAAATCAATAAAATGTAACATATTCATTTTGTTTTAGTATATTATGTCTTTCATCAGATATACATGCCGAATTTCCGACACAGGCCGTGCATATATTGAAGTGACCTCATTTTTTCGTTATACAAAATTATCTTAAACACACGCTAAATGTAACAAGATGATCAGCGGATCATTTCAATTATAACGTCTCTTTCTATGAAATGTGATAAATAGAATATTATATCCGTAATATTGAACTCCTTGAGTAAAATGACAATCGCACAATATTGTTTTATTCAACACGTTCAATCAATTCAGAATTGAACCTTCACTCATTTAATTTTGCCTGATATGCCATTAACAGTATTGCTGACATATCCGGGTTATCCAATTAAGTGTAATTTCAAACGTAATTTCAGTTTGCAATGCATTCAGAAATGTCCATTGTTATGCAACTAAAACATATTTGAGCAGGCAGTGCATGATTGGCAACCACTCATTGTTCCATTAACATGTTACTATAGATCGCGAAACGGGATTCGAAAAGACTGAGTATTGCTCAGAACAACATTTGCGAAGCATTGTGCTGAATATGTAAAAGAATGTGTTTTGTATTTTAATTCAATGGTTGTGGAATAAAAACAATATATTCCTATACATATTGTGAAAAAAGAATAATGCTTGGACCGGTGCCAGTGTGCATAAGAAATATTGCATTTTCATAGTCTCTTGCGTGTCTAAAGCCACATGCATTTAAGTTTCAATTGCTCTCAAGTATCAATTATTTTGTCGCTGCTAAAATTTGTTTTTCCTCTTCGGATGCTTTTTTGTGACTTTGAAATTCACTATTTCTGGAAAACAAATTACTGAATACTCCAGCTATAGCAGCTATGGGTAATGCCAGTACAATTATTCCATTAATTGCGCAAACCACGCCTCCTATGTAACCGAACGTGCTGACTGGATAAAAATCCCCATATCCGACCGTTGTCATTGTAATCACCGCCCACCACATTGTCAACTGGGTGTTTGGGAACATATCGCTCTCTATTTCAGCAGAGAAAATCAAACAAGCGTAGATGACCACAAGAACAAGAAACGTAAATAAAAGGAGCATTAGTTCCTTCAGACTGTGTTTCAGTGCTACTAACATGATATGCAAGGAATTGAAAATTTTCCTTAGCCTGAATATCAGCAACAATCGCAAAGATGTTAACGCCCTGCAAAATATCATGAAACGTGCGACAGACAAATCTTCTTTCAAAATGTCCTTGTTTATTTCTAATCCCAAAGTTACGGTCATACTGATGCATACGATTATCTTGATTAAATTGTATAGATCGTAGAAATACTCCTTTTTGTTCGGACATACACATATTGATAGGAATAATTCAAAAGTGAAAAATACGAACGAAAAAACATCGAGAATAAACATAACCGGATGGGGATCCGTTCCCCCGGCCATCATAATCTTTTCGTTATAAAGGGATGTTTTCAAGTAATTATATGCCGAACTGTTCAGTCTCAGTACGTCTGCACTGTCCTCGGAAAGGGTCGAAAGGTATCTTGGTACCCGAAATGAGGGATCCAGCCAAATCAGATACAGAACTACACTGACCAGTACCACAAATATGTAGAAATAATACCAGATCTGCAATATGAAAGAAAAGCATTATGACCATCGTAATTCACGCATACAGTTTCGACCACCTTTGAAATTATTTTTCGGGCAATTAAGTACCAATTAAATAAGAAAATTTCATTTTTACATGTAATAGTAGATAATGAACTCCATTGAGTTCTATATGCATATAAGATTCGAATTCTTACTTTGGTCGGCAATTTCTCTTGAAATAAAAAGAAATATGCAAAATATAATTATGAGATATACTCAGAATACTCAGAATAAAATTAAAAATGTAATTTAAAGCGTCTCTTACTATAAAAAGGACTTAAACACATTTCATATTATAAAATATTATTTTGGAGAGAGTGAGCATATGATCTGACATTTTGTCATCATCAGATGGTACATACAGTTCTAGCGGAAAAAAGCAAACCTTTTTAGTAGTCTTTTCATGTCAAAATACCTCTTGGGCGTTCCTTTAAAGTTACGAAAAACATCATTATTTGTTTGATGTGTAAATAAACGTGAAAGAAAAAACACTTGCCGTTGTTCTTCAATAAATTGAATTACATGTTGTAGAGTTAAAAAAAACCTTTAAGTTATTACGCATATTGACGCAATTCAATTCATCATATGATAAAGCAAATATTCTAGCATTTTATTTATCTGGAATGACAATAGGAATATATAGTCATTACCAGCCGAATATTGATTTTTACATTGTATGAAAGTGAAAACCATATTTGGAATGCAACATGAAATATTTACATAACTTTCAATGACATAGATGATACATTACAAAATGTCTAATATTGCGATCAACTTACTATAAGCAACAATTTTAAATTATTACCGTGTACAGGTAGTGTAAACTGACCACCTTTTCAACATTTACTCAAATAATGCATTCTAAACACATTATAAATATTTATAATTATTATACTTAAAGGACGAATGACACTTTTTGCAATCCATCAATTGTTCGAAATATAATATCACCACATGATTTTATTGTTTGTAATAAAGTATTAGTTCTTAGTACATGTAAATGCTCCTTTTTATTCAAATCAAATAATTTCATTTTAAATTTTGTTATTTCAAACACCACACGTTTATTTACCTTTGCTGCCGTTGAGGACCCCGGTTCCTCCAGAAACATCCATACCTTAGACATGTTTCCATCTTTGCCTTCATTACTTGATGACTTTTCTTTCTCTTGTTTCTTTTCTGTAACAGGTACCAGATTTGTTTCCGGGAAAATGTAATTTTTCGCGTTCCAATTTGTCTTGTAGTTATTGTCCTCATTTACAACTATCTTTAGATCTTCTAAATTACTTTCGGACTCGTACAGATATTGCCAACAACATGGGGCAATCAGTTGAATAGGTATTTTCCAAAACTGCAGCTCCTTTTTATATACAAACGGGCAAACTGTTCTTGGTATATGAACCTCTTTGATTCTATAAGAATTCAAGATATGCCGGAACAGTTCTGGATCCCGATCAAAATTGTAAACATTTTCTTCTTTATCATACTGATTACATGTCTCGTCGAGATCAGACAACAATGTCCCGTCAATAGCTTTTAACAAACTTCTTGTTGTTTTGAATTGCACGGAGCCGACGAAAATAGTTATATTGTCAGATCCCATCACAGTTTATAAAAAGTTACGATATTTAATACAACAAATGACAGTAAAAGAACTGTTTTATTAGATTTATACATAAAAAATATTTTGTTCGCACAAATCACAAATTCCTGATAATCTTTCATTCATTAAAATTTATTAATAGTGTATCTTCCCACTTCATATCAGCCTATATGACAAGAGATTGAATGCGTAATCCATTGGGACAGATATATTCATTATTTGTTTGACAAATCCTGATTGGTTATTTAGAAATTTACAACGGAGAATCTGATCAATTATTTAGATATAACTTAACGACAACAATTATAGTAGTGTATCTTTATTTATGTTGATTATTTCAAGAACGATTAAAATCATACAGCTAGGACAGCGGAAATCAATAGCCTTTAGATTGTTTAAAGTGGTCACTGTAATTTCTGTTTACATTTCATCTATACATAATGGTTAAACAAATTGTTAAAAGTGGGTGATTTATTGTATAATGGTCTAATGAGTTCTACATCAAGCACAATAGAAATTAATGTTCAAGAATATCAGGATCATGGTTTGTACAGTCAGTGCCGATGTGATTAAACTCAGGTCCTCATTAACGCTACAACATGCAAGAAATAACTTGGGTACATCAGAACTTTAGTCGAATTAAGTAAGTTCAGAATGAATAATAACTTCATTGTATTTGGTAGCATATTATACGTATGTTATGTGTCCAAATTATGTTTGAAAATGATGAATTATTTCATGGTAACAAATTACACTATAAATGATAAATGTTGGAATCTGCTTAGTATAATGCAATTTGCGTAAAGAGATCATGTATCAAGTCCTTGCTGTCTTTTAACAAAATGACTTTGCAACAACTTCCTTTTTTGTGTTTGTTGACGACCATTAATGTTCCGAATTAGCAATTTTATGTCACTGATAAATATTTCCATCAGATATACATCTGTTTCTTTAATGCCATTGATGTAATTATTAGTCTTTTGTTGTTGTTTTTTATGAAAAGTCCTATCAGGAGCAGTGCAAACAATACTAAAATATGAAAATAGCAGGCTCAGTTTGATTGAGACTGTTCGTATGATATAATGTAGAAGTGCTCATCCCCCATGCCGCAAAGCACCGACTTAAGCGGTATCAAAACGTCATGATCCGGAAGCATCAGAAAAATATAAAAACACTGAAGTACGGCGACTTTCCATCTGTTACTGTCGAATGAAACTCAGCTACATTATTGCAGGCATGAGCGGATACCTAAGTAGGACCACTGACCTCCCGTAAGCACAGGATAAATTCCTAACATGAAAAAATCCTTAGCGGGATTCGAACCGGGGCAAATGATTTGAAGCCAGCGACCTAAACTACTGACAAAGGAGGCCCTTGGTTTTTATGTATATTTCTATTTTATATATATTTCAGTAATCACAAATATGGCCTGACTTGAGACACGAACATGTCATATCATATCACATCAACAGCACAATCATTTTCTTATGATTCTTTATTCCATGACTGTCGCTATTAACATTTTAGATTTAACTATCGTTTGATCATTTGTTTCCTTGTAAAGGCTTCATTGAAGAGCACTAGAACTTTGTTTATTGCAACTTGAATTGAAAAGAGAACCCCATAATCTATAAACATATATGAAAAGGGGTCAGTTATGTACATTTGAAAAATATAAGCAATATTTGTATCGATGAACTGGTTTCAAAGCACTTATCTAAAGTTCAAGCAAAATTGAAATTAATTATACTAGTTTCAGTACACTTATCCAAATTTGAAGAAATAACTGTTCAACATTAAAATTCACTAATCTGGTTTCAAAGCACTTATCCAAATTTAAGCAATTTTATTCAATATCGAAAATAACTAAACTAGTTCCAATGCACTTTTTCAACGTTCAAGCAATTTCGATCTGTTCTATATTGAAATGAACTTAACTGGTTTCAAAGCACTTATCCCAAATTAAAGCAATTAGTCAGTATTTTATCAATGTAATCTTTATATATTCTACTATGTAAACCATACTATGGGGCGTCCGTTACCGAGTGGTTACGGTCGTTGACTTTAAACCACTTTCCCCTCACCGCTGTTGGTTCCAATCACGACAGGGACTTTGGAATATTTCATTTGAGGAAGCTATCCAGCATGCTGACGGCACGTCGTTGGTTCTACTTAGGTGCCCGTTCGTTCCTGAAATAATGCATCGAAGAGCACCTGAGATCTGCCTCCACCAGTAAAGCTGGAACGTCGTCATATGTCCTATAATTATTATTATATTATTATATACCAACTTTCTTAAGCACTTTTTCATGTACGTTGACACGTTCAAAAGTACTGTAAAGTATAACCAAATAAATGATTATGACAATATTAAAAAAAAAAAACATCAAAAAAAAAATTAAAAAAAATTAAAGCATCAATATTGCTCAAGTCACAAAATCAAAACAAATGTAGTTTTAAAAAGTTAAAAAGACCTACATAAATAATAAAATTCAGGTAAGAACCTTAAAAATAATCGGTCAAAATAAAACCTCTTAAATAAGTGAGTTTTAAGTGCTCTCTTAAACACTGTTAGGGTTTCATTCACAGCTTTTAAGTGTTCTAGGTAGGGCATTCCAGAGTTATGGGGCTGCCGTCATAAAATCACGATCACCATAAGTCACAGTCCTACTTCGCGGTACAACAAGTGATAAGCAATCATTCTGTGACCTAAGGTGTCTGGATCGGGTATAAATATCTAGCATGTTTCGTATGTACGTAGGTGCCCGTCCATGAAGCGCCTTAAACACATATGAAAGGAGTTTGTACTCGACTCTGATGTGCACCGGAAGCCAATGTAGTTCCTTTAAAACTGGGATTATGTGGCAGTTTCTCGGTGTCCTGGTAATTACACGAGCAGCCGTATTTTGAACATTTTGGAGCTTGTTGAGAACGTACTTTTGAGATCCATATGGCAACGAATTACAGTAATCTAATTTTGATGTCACTAACGAGTTTATCAAGGTTCTGGTTGAATCAACAGTCAAGTATTTCCGAATTTGACCTATTTCTCGTATTTTCATGAAGCATGAACGAGAAACTGAGTGCACATGTTGTTCCATGTCTAAATGAGAGTCCAATACGGCGCCAAGGTTTCTAACTGTTGTTGATGGTTTTATTACAGAATCACCGACTCTTACTATAAAACCTTCAATATCACTTTGTTTTGGTACAAAGACGATCACCTCTGTTTTGTCCGCATTGAGTTTCAGAAAGTTATTATTCATCCATAGTATGATATCATTCAGGCATGCTTCAATCCGTCGCAAGGTCTCATTGCGTGAAATGGCTTCCTTTGGTTTAAATGCCATGTACAATTGCGAGTCGTCAGCGTAGAAATGATGATGAAGTTTATGCTTCCGACAGATCGCGCCCACAGGTTTGGTGTACATGATGTAATTTTTCGGACCAAGAACGGACCCTTGTGGCACAGAAAATGTCATGCGTACATGTTTCGACAGTTCACCATTGACGCAGACAGTTTGATGACGCTCACACAGATATGATTTCATCCATTGTAATGGTTTGCCTACTATTCCGAAGTGTTGTTCGAGCCGGCAAAGGAAGGTACTATGGTCGATCGTATCAAAAGCAGCAGATAAGTCCAGCATTACTAGAACAGTAGCTTCATTCTGATCATGAGAACGGAGAATGTCATTTTGTACACATAATAGAGCAGATTCTGTTGAATAAAACTGCCTATAAACAGACTGACGCTCTTCATGAAGTTTATGTGCAGATAAGTGTCTTTCAAGTTGGGAATCGACAATTTTCTCGAGAGTTTTGGAGACAAACGGTAAATTAGATACAGGCCGGTAGTTTTTCATAACATCTTGATCCAACCCTGACTGATTAAAAGTCTGACTCTAGAACTTTTAAAAGCGGGTGGTACATAGGCCCTCTCAAGTGAAGAGTTTATAATTTTTGTGATCAATGGTTATAATTCATTTAAATAATCTTTCATCAGCCATGTTGGAATGGCGTCAAGTTCACAGGATTCGTTTGGCGAATTGCGAATAATTTTTGAAATTTCCATCTCAGAGACTACTGAAAATTTTGAAAATTGCTCTCCATTGAAAGGTGCTTTAGGGACAACATTGTCTGTTTGTTGGTGAGACTTGGTCCTGGCTATACCATTACGTATGCCTTCAACCTTATCCACAAAGAAGTCACTAAAGTCTTGTGCTAGAGCGTTTGCAGGATTACCAGATGGCAGGACAAGATCTGTGTTTGCACCCATCAAATGCCAGGTCACTTTGGTAAGGTTTTTCATATCACGACCAATTGAATCTACTTTCTCAGTGTAGTATTTGACTTTGGACATATTTAGAAGCTTATTCGTAACAGCGCATTGGTTTCCATATATAAAGTGATCAATTTTCAATCCAGTCAAGCGCCACTTCCGCCCTTACTGACGTCTTAAATGTTAAGCATCGTGTAGTTTTTGGGAATACCACGGATTTATTGGTCTTAGAACAATGCTCTTGGGCTAAAGGGGTGCGTGTTTGTCAAGAAGGAGAGAAAGGCCGTTGTTGTAGGCATCAACTAGTTCATCAACATTGGAGCTTTCTTTAACACTATTTAAAATATCAGATGTCAAAATATCTGTTTTAAACTCATTAACATCTATTGATTTTAATTTTCTGTAAGTCACAGTTTTTCGTACTGGTGGTGGTTTTAGCATTAAATACAACAGCGAAGTGATCACGAGACGTGTTTTCATTATTGTCTGGGAGTCCAGGATCAGATATTTCTACATCTGATACTGTTGAGTCTGTATCTCTGGTAATGAGCACATCTAGTATGTGGCCTGCTACATGAGTTTGTTCAGTGACGTTTTGACGCATGCCACACGCTTCCAAGACACTTTTGAGTTTTGCGGTGTTAGGGTTTGAAAGATCGTCCAGGTGAATATTAACATCGCCCACCACAACAATATCGCTTTCAGCAGTTGTAAAGTTTGCAAGAAATGTCGGCCATTCTTCATCAAGAAATGTACTAGTCTTAAAGCCGTTGTGTTTGTTTGGAGCCGGCCTATATACCACAGCTAATCGTAGAGAAAAGTTTTTACAGTGATGTTGCAGTCCATATATTCAAACGAGGT